GCCAGGACTCTTGAGGTGGGCCATTGTCACTCCTAGGATGGAGTTTCCTGTATTTCCCAATTCCTATGCCCTATTGCATTGATAGTATGAGAATGCTAGTGTCAATTTTTCAGCCATGTAGTCAACTCATAAGGGCCAATGTGCCAGCCTCATCCAGCCTTCGATGACACAGCCTTAGCCAACGTCTGACTGTAGCCTCATGAAAGCCTCTGACCTCAGCAGCCCACCAACCCGCTCTTGCCTTCCTCACCCAAACCACTCAAAATCCTAAAACAGGGTGAAATGATGCACATTCGTTATTTGTTAAGCTTTTAAATTTTGAAATAATTTGTTATACAGTAAGACGTAACTAATATATCTAGAAGAAGGAAAATATCTTGCATATTGTGGACATGATGAGAAACTCGTGGAAGCTTACCATGAGAGATCACAGCCAGGAACGTGATGGTCAGAGATGCTGCTGAAACCCCAGGTTCTAGGAAAGAGTGGGTGAGGCTGCCATCTGGTGGCAGAAGGCTTGCTTAGGTATTCTCCCCTCCCTACTCGTTTATAACACTAGTTCTACACAGCATTTCCGCTTAGCTTTCCTCCAAGGGTCATAGTTGAGTTTTATGACTCAATTACGTGGGCCATAAACATACTTGCTTATAGATGCAAAGACTTACTTCTGAAAAATGTCAGTTTAAGGTATTAATTATCCTATTTGATTGTTTTATTTTCTCCCTTAGTCTCTACTACCTATCTGACTCAAAATTATGAAAGGGAAATAAAAAGATAGAATGCAATTATAAAAAAAAAACAGAGTTAGGGCTAGGGATGTAGCCCAGTGGTAGAGCGCTTGCTTGGCATTGTGAAGCCCTGGGTTTCATCTCCAGCACCAGAAACAAATGAACAAACAAAACCAGAGTTAAAAACCAAAAGCCGTGTCCAGTAGATTGTTCCTAACTCTCATTGATGTTGGCCGTGACTGCTGGCCCTTTGCGGTCTTTAGAGCCTTCTTATATTCTCCAATTTTCCTTCCAAATAATGTCAAAGAGCTCTTGAATAATATCCCCCAATCCTATAGCAGCCTGAGAAGGAAACCGACACTACAAGTGGCCACGACAAGCTTGTGGCCCGTGGTCCAGACAGAACCAGGGGAAGAACTGGAAAGAAACGAAAATTTTCCCACTGGAGTAAATTACTGGTGGTGGATTTTCAGATTTAAGATGGGGGCCTTCTAACTTCAAAACTACATTGTCCAGAAGGCTTTCCCCATTTCACCCTTAGGCTCACCTGTCACTTTCCTTTGTGCCTGCTTTTATGGGACTCACTGCTTTGTATTATAGTTAAGTCAAGTCCCATGGACTTACTAAAGTAAGATTCCTTGGAGGGTGGAATTTGAGCCTTCCTTATCTTTGCAATTTTTTAAATCATTTTTAAGAAACAGGCCTCGTACAGGGTGGAAAGAAATATGGATTCTGTCCTTCAAGAAGTCAACATCCGGAAAGGAAGACATGCACATCTAGCTAGAATGCAAAGAAGAAGCTGACTTGCATGCACTCACTCAAGGGACGTTTGTTGGGTACCTACTTTGTGCTAAAACCTGGACATACAGAAGTTAGTCAAGTCAGTTCTCTCAGAGGAGCCACGAAGTAAACAGACAATGACTTTCCATACATCAAGTGCTGGGATGGGGCCAGTCCCTAATTCCATAAGAAGGATGGAACAGATTGTGGCTCTTGTGGGAGGGGGAGGCAGGGGTGAGACCTGAGTTTTGGAGTTTTGGAAGATGAATAGGACTTGGTCAAGTAAAGAATGTGGGGGAAGAAAGTCTTTTAAAAGGCACAGTAACGAGGGAAGATGTGATATATTGGGGGGACTTCTGGAGGAGTTGAAGATGCCAGGCCCTTTGTAGGTCACAGGTGCAGTGAAACTTTTGCAGCAAGAGAGTAGTCTGAGTTGGACACAAAAGGCAGGAGGGCAAAGAGGTGGTAGTGGGAATGGCGATGGCCTTCCATGGGATTTAGACCTGGACTAGTCAGAGAGCGAGCAGTGGGGCCTGCAGAGGCTATCTGCGTGGGAGACCAAGGAGGCTCCTGGGAAAGATTCATCCTAAGGGTAGAGAGGCACAGTACAGTGGACAGCTTTCTGAATATAGCTCAGTGGTAAAACCCAAAAACAACAAAAAACTTTAAATTTAACCCTAGTACCACCACACACACAAAAAAGCCAAAGAAACCCAAAACCCCTCAAAAAACAACTACAATGAATACAGCTTAGTGGTGTGTGTGGGATTTGCATCTGTCTATATTCTAGCCCTTCATGGATTCTTGTCTGGTTTCTGGGCTTCAAGTAAAATAAAAAGATTGCTAAAAATTTTTGATCATTTAACAATATGCCAGGAATTTATATCCTTTGGCTTGTTTAATTTTCATCATAGCCTTATGAGGCTGCTATTATGGTTATCCTCATTTTATAGTTGGAAAACCCAACTTACCTAAGGAGAAGCCCCCACTAAACTCTCCCTTCCTTCCTTCCTCCTTCCCTCCCTCCTTCTCTCTCTCTCTTTTCTTTGTCTTTTTTCCTGGGGTTTAAACTCAGGGGTTTGTGCTTTGGTAGGCAGGTACTATACCACTTGAGCCATACCTCCAGCCTTTCCTTACTCATGTTGGAACTGGTACATGCCAGGTAATTGAAAAAGTTGACTAAAGTAAGGAGCTACATACAAAAAAACTAGTACATATTATAAGCATTTAAGTTTGAGATTTACATATAGTTAAAAGAAATAATAGAGAGGTCCAATACACCAGTCCCCAATGGTATCATCTTGAACCTCTTTTGCAGAACCCCCACTATGTGCCAGGCACTGCTCTGGTTGCTGGAAGGTTAGTTTGGGAAACAGCTGACAGAAGCCTCGAGAATGAGTGAGATTTCCAGGGAATGTGTCTGGAGTTAGAAGGAGGGAAGGTGGCAGACAGACAGCATTTGAGGGGCAAGAAGAAAAGCTGTAAGGAGACCTTGAAGGTAGGAGGACAAGCAGGAGAGGATGGTATCATGGAGGCTAAGGTGGACAAAGGTGCAGGGAAGAAAGGGCAGCGAAGAGTGTACAGTGCTGCAGAGGTCACCTGAGAGGGGGACTGAAAGTATCCATTGCAGCTGGGACATCACAGGCGCCCAATCCTAGGGAGGGAAGCAGGTCGGTGGTGTGGGAGGAGTGAGTTGGGTAAGGAAAGATAGGTAGAGAGTGTAGCAAGGCTTCCAATTAGGGAAAGCAAGAGGGAGTGAAGGAGAAATTTTCCATGGATCTTGTTTCCTGGATGAGGAGTCTTTGTCAGCAAGATGAGGAGTTCGGGACTCATTGAACAGAGCAAGGTGTCATAGTGGGAAGAGTTGGAATTTCCAGACAGCTGGAGGAGCAGGCACCTGTTTTTCTGAAAGGAGATACTTGTTGGAAGAGATGCTGATAAAACTCTGTGGTTGTTGTGAGAGGGAAGTGATTATTTCCAGCTGGGCAAAAGGGGATTGGATTTGGACAGAGGATGGGGGAAGGGCATTCCAAGCAATGCAAGGAGACAGGAGTGCCAGGGGTGTTGGAGGTAACAATTGAGGGGTTCAGCTGGCTGAGGTTGAGGCACCTGAAGGGGGTATCAGGGCAGATGAGGCCAGCAAATACATACTAGAGTGGAGGAAGTGGAGTCAGATGATATATGAAGTTCAAATTCCAACTCCCAGTGGCTTATTTGCTATGACATTGAATTAGTTCCTTACCAAGTCTCAAATTCCTCATCTGTGAAATGGTGAGAACCCTGATAGGGTTATTGGAGGAGGACTAGATAGGTAATACATACAGAGAGCTGAGTCCAGTGCCTGGAGGCTGGTGAGCCCGCAGTAAATAAGTGCTATCTGTCATTAACGCAAAGCCATTTGATATTTGATGTGTGTCTTAAGGGTGATTAACGGGATCATATGGTGTGAAGGGGACTGAACAGGGAAAGGCCTTGTACGCAGTAGCTACCCATTCAGCACTAGATGGCATTCAGGATATGGTTTGCCTTTCCTCGGTTGGTTCACAGTTCCTAGGGGGACGGTTAGCCAGGTAAGTGCCCCAAAGTCGGGGGCAGGCGGGGAGAGAATGATGTAAAAATTTCAGCTGAATCTGGCCCCGGTGGCTCATGCCTGTAATCCTAGCTATGCAGGAGGCAGAGATCAGGAGGTTCAAAGCCAACCCAAGGCAAACAGTTCGAGAGACCCTATTTTGAAAAACCTATCACAAAAAAGGGGGCTGGTAGAGTGTTTCAAGGTGTAGACCCTGAGTTCAAACCCCAGCGCCGCAAAAAAAAAAAAGAAAAAGAAAAAGGAAAAGAAAAAAAATCAGCTGAGAGCTTCTCGGCAGTTATTAATTTTATTTATCTATTTATTTTACGGTTCTGGGGCTTGAACTCAAGGCCTCACGCCTGCTAGGCAAGCGCCCTACCGCTTGAGCCACTCTACCAACCCTATTTCATTTATTTATTTTTCTTTTAGATCAGGTCTCACTATGTAGCCCAAACTGGCCTCCTATTCGCGATCCTCCCGCCTCCGGCTCCCGAGACTGGGATTATAGTCATGCCCCACCACGCCTGACTCCCAACTGTTCCTTGCTGTAATCCTCCAGGTTGAGACCCCGCAGTGAGGTGCAGGGTCTCCAGGCGCGCACTCCTGGGGCTCCGCATCTGAGCAGCGGCAAGAGTTAATGAATCGCTGTACGCAGGAACAGAGCTAACTCAGGGATGCGTGGAGCGGGAAAGGAGCTCCCCCCGCGCAGCGCAGTGGGTGGGCGGAGCTAAGCCGAGCGAGGGGCGGGCTGGACGCGCTGGACGCGCTGACGTCAGGGGCACGCAACCGCAGAGCGCCTCGCGTCCGGGAAGCAGCGGCGGCGGCGAGGGAGGAGGCGGAGGACGCGGAGGAGGCGGTGGGATTTGCGACTTCACAACGGTCCTGGGAGGAGGCGCGGCGTCAGGGTGGGGTGGGTGGGCCGGAGTAAACGCTCCGCGCACAGCGGTCCTTCCGGTACCCCCTGGCCGTGTCTGCCTCTACCTACTCCGAGCCCGGTAGGTGGGGCCCATCGCACCCCGCCCGTGTGTCCACAGACTTCCGAGTGGGGCGCCTGGGCCCCGCGGGGGCCTCCACCTGCTGGCCTCGCAACCTTGGGCGTGGCCTCCTGGGCCTAAGGGACCCCACCAGGCTTCCTGGGCAGCAGAGGTGCTGGTCAAGGCTTCTGCCAGCGCTGACCTGCTTCACGCCGTCCTAGGCCCCTCTCTTGCTCCCGTCCTGGGTCCTTCGCCCACGGGGATTTAGGGTACTCGGTGGCCCTTTTATCACCTGTCCCGCCGCCCTCCCGCCCCGTGTCGCAGCTCATTGCCCGGGACTGGTTTATATTGCTGTTTGCTGCTTAGCGTTCAGGACAAAACTTTGAAATTAGGAAAAGAGCTTGAAGCTTCATGTGGCTTTCCTCATGAGAAACGAGAAGGGAATGGGGCATTATGGAAGGTGATGGTGTCGAAGATGGGGCAGGCCAGGAGAGAGCCTGGTAGTCCTGGAGGAATATGGTTTATTTACATTGTACACTGTAAACAGTGATTAATAGAGGCCAACCAAAGTTAGAAGAGGAAGCCCGGTAGAAAGCAGGGAGTTTTACTTTGATGTGGTAAGTGTTGTAGGGAGAGTGAGAACTTTCCAATCCAGACTTGGGGGTGTTTGGCAAAGACTTCCCAGAGCAAGCCAGTGGTGTTCAAGCTGACACCTGAAGGATGAGTAGAAATTGACAGCGCTCCTGAGAAAAATATTCCAGGATGTCATATCTCTTGAGATTATGGGGTAGCTGCCTTCTTCTAGCAACCACATGTGCTGGTCATTATGGCTTGTTTATTTATTTTTACTTTTAAGTCTCTTTTTTTTTCTCGGTACTGGGGCTTGAACTCAGGGCCTTGTGCTTGCTAGGCAGGTGCTCTATCACTTAAGTCACTCCGGCAGCCCTGGCTTATCCTTTTGATGGGTCTATGGAGAAAAGAGCTGAAGAACGGAATTTTATGGGTATTTCTGTTTCACACCTGTGAAATGGGTATTCCTTCTGTTTCACACCTGTGAAATGGGTATTCCACATGTAGCCCCATGGACCTCACAGGTTTGCTGTGAATACTACATTAAATAATGCAGGGGGAAATAAATCGGGGACTGGCAGTACAATGCAAATGTCTGGAATTTTTATGTTCACAGAATGCAACCATCAGAGCGTGAGGGGAGTGGGCCAGAGGTGAGCCCCAACATGATGCCTGAGACTCTCCCAGAGTCTCCACATCCCCCTACCAAGACCCCAGCATTTGATCTCTTCAACTTGGTTCTTTCCTACAAGAGGCTGGAGATCTACCTGGAACCCCTGAAGGATGCAGGTGATGGTGTACGATACTTGCTCAGGTACAGACTTTATGGAGTTGTGGTAGCCTGCTGGGCCTTCTGCCTCCCTACTCTATAGTAGCACTGGCCATTTAGGTGGTGGTTGGACTGTCTATTCTGCCTTAGTGATGACCAGTTTTGGAGGGTCTGTTTGACCTCTAGATTTATCCAGGCACACTCTGTGTCTCAGTCCTACCCCAGGAGAGGCAAGAACTGGGAACATTTGGCCTTTGATCAGAGCTTTTCTTCATGACTGGTTCAGTTCTTGTCTTAGACAGCCTTGAACATTGGCTTTGATAGCCTAGAGCAGGCTTGCTCTTTTCTCTCCCAGTATTAGCATAAATTATATTAAAATTGAGTAAGATTTTGAATAAAAGTCAAATACAAATATGAGTAAGCTGGTACCATTTTCATTAGTTGTTTGCCATTACAGATCTCATTTTTCTTTTCTTCTTTGGTTTTCATAGTCCATAATTTTTTCAGCTTTCTTTCTCTCTCTCTCTCTCTTTTTTTTAATGATACTGGGGTTTGAACTCAGGGTCACTTTTAGCCACTCCACCAGCCTTTTTTTTGTGATGGATTTTTTTGAGATAGAATCTCGCAAATTATTTGCCCATGGGCTGGCTTTGAACCTTGAGCCTCCTGATCTCTGCCTCATGAGTAACTAGGATCACAGGCATGAGCCACCGGTGCCCAATCAGCTTGCTTTATTTCTTATGTTAAAAGTATTTCGAGTTACAGATATATCCCATTCCCTGAATACTTCAGTTTGTGTTTCTAAATAATTAAGAACATTTTCTTTCACCATCAAAGTAACATCATACCTAACACAATTAGTAATGAATAATTCCCTGCTGTCTTCCTACAGTCAGTTCATAGTTGTGTTTCCTTAGTTTTCTTAAGGATGTCATGAAGAATTGTTTTGGTCAAATCATGTTCCAGTCTTCTAATCCAGTACTATGCAGCCTGTGTGATTATGTCTCCCTTAGTCTTTTGCAATCTAAAACAGTCTCTTACTTCTTGATACTGGCATACTTGAAGGGACTGAAGTATTCTGTCTAAAATATTCTGAAAATTCTGACTGTCCCGCAGAATTTCATACTTAGATTTGTGTAGGAAGTTAGATTTAAAGGGTGGACCAGATTCAAAAGTTTTTTTTTCCCCCAAGGTAAGTGTTGTGTCCTTAATACTGCATCACATCAGGAATCAAAAAAAGCCTGGTTGTCCTAAAGAGTAGAGCCTGTGGCTGGGTTTTAGGGGTCAGTGAATCCCCTGAAACTGTGTGTAAGATTGTCTGTTCATTCATGTTTATTTCTAAGAAATACTTTTCATTAGAGTCTCAGAAAGACCCTTAACTCTGTAAAATGCCTAAGGAGACTAGTAGGCAGGATGAGTGGAGTTCGGTTACCTGCAAGGGTGCCATTGTGTTTGTATCCTTGCCTCAATCTGGAAATAGCTGATTTATTATTATTATTAATTTGAGACAGTGTTAAGCTATGTTCTCTAGACTGGCTTTGAATTACTGGGCTCAAGCAGTCCTCCTGGTGGGTCACTTATTATTAACTTTGACCAAGGCCCTAAGTCTTTCTTGTTCAGCCCTTTAACTTGTGGCACTGTCTCTAAGGTGAGAGCTAGTCAGTGTTCTAGAGCCATGCTCCCTACTTTAAGATCTCTGTGCTCTTGGGGACAGAGGTAGGTAGGAGGAGGAGGAACTCTTTTTCTCATTTTACAATCTCAGCACCATCAGCTAGCTGAAATGAGTGTTAGTTTCCCTTAGGGTAGGGAGAGAGTTCTAGGGAGATTAGACTGTGCTTTCTGGCGTTTTCTGTGCACAAGTTGCATGTTTTGACCTTTTGAGGCAAAGCACAAAAGTAGATACATACTGCCCTTCTCTACTGTTTCATAGTGCTTCTTGGCACACCAACCTGTCACGGTTTTTCCATTTTATGGAATTAGAGATCTGAGGATGTTGTAGGGTAGTTAGAGCTGGATGGAGGGGAAGTCTCCGCCCTAAAAACCCTTTCCCCCTAGTCTGTGGTCTCAGAGTGCTGGCAGAGGGAGACTGGTCTGTGAAAGTAGCTGTCATAATAGTTTGTTCTTTTCTTAGTAAAGAGGATTTGACTTTGAAGAGGGACCTAATCTTGGCTTTGGCTATTAGGTCCGAAGCCTGGAGTGTAGTAAAAATTTAATACTCCCTTCTGGGATCACCTACTCTTCTGTGTGGGTCTCCCAGACCAAGCTGTGGGTAAAGACATTAGGGAGAAGGGAGAAACTTTGAAAGGAAGTGACTTCGTGGGTGGTGGTGTGATGTTTTTATTTCTCAAATAGGATTTTCTTTAGACCTAGGTTTTATTTTGTTCTTACTTTGGTAGCATTCACTAAAGGTTCTGAGGCCTAATTGGGGTTGTATGGGTAGAGCATGTTGAATTTCAGGAAAAAGGCAAAAAGAGGCCATTATGTTTCCTCATAATTTCTATTAAAAAGTAAAAGCCCCACATAAATTAACCTCATTTAATAATTGTGAAATCTTCCAATTCGAGCACAAAAAAAAGGCATTTAAATTTTGAATACATTGCTTGTTGGCAGTGTACCTGTTTATTTTCTCAATCTTGTTTCCTCTGATGGCTCACCTTGTGTATACTGACACTGCCTTCAGAATTGGGGCTCAGTGGCTTCATTATTATGTCTGCTCTTATTTCCCTATGAAGGGCTCCTTATTGGGGACTAAGCCAGCAGCTCTCACTTGTCCACAGCAATGGAGTCTCTGGTCTTCTTTTTCCCCTCTCTGGGAACTTCTACATTTGGTGGTGGTGTAGTGGTGGGGGTACCTTTGTGTCTGCTTCCAGCTGTTCCAGTTCGCATGGGGTCTGTTTGCTAAGTGAATGCTGCACCCTATTTTTCAGTTTTTATTTTTTTATGTATTAAGTATTTTTCTCCTTCTAATTAACATATTTTAAAAACTCTCAGATTAAACTTAGTAGTATAGATAATAAGATAAAGTCACAGTGATCAAAGAAGCGCATGATTTGTTCATTCTTTTTTTCTTTTTTTGGGGTTTGAACTTAGGGACTTAACATTTACCTGGCAGGTGCTCTACAACTTGAGTCTCGTGGCTCTTTTGGTTTAGTTATTTTTCATATAGGGTCTCATGGTTTTTGCCTGGGCCAGCCTTGGACTGTGATCTTCCTATATGTGCCTTCCAAGTAGTTGGGATTATGAGTGTGTACCACACACCCAGCTTATTGATTGAGATGGGGGTCTTACTAACTTTGTTTGTACTAGCCTGGTACCATGATCCTCCTGATCTGTACCTCCTGAGTAGCTGGGATTATAAGTGTGAGCCACTGTGGCCAGCCTCTGATTTGTTCTTTCTTGATTTCTGTGTTAAATGAGTTCTTGTGCAATGATGATACGTTCTCATGAAATTGTGAAAAAGAATAAAAGAAAATATTAAAGAATCTTTGTCAGCTTCCCCTATCAAGGAGCATACTTTTTTTTTTTTTTTTCTTTCTTGTGGTACTGGGGTTTAAACTCAGGGCCTACACCTCAAGCCACTCCACCAGTCCTTTTTTTGTGTTGGGTGTTTTCGAGATAGGGTCTTGAGAACTATTCGAACCTCCTGATCTCTGCCTCCTGAGTAGCTAGGATTACAGGTGTGAGCCACTGGTGGCTGGCTTCGAGGAGCTTACATTCCTAAAAAACACAGGTGAAGCAGTATTAACCAAGTTTCTTAGCAAATTCTTCCTTCTGGGAGAAAGTTCTGCAGGTGTTCAGTTTTGTCACCCTAGGGTTAATGTGACCCTAGGAGATGAGGGTCATTATCCCTCTCCTAGATGCCTACCTAAGAGACAGACCCCTTTTCATTTCTCCTTGGTCCTCTGTGCCCCAGGCCTCCTCCCAGCCGGAGGAGCGGCGGTCTGGTGATCAGGACTCTCTGTGTTGTAGGTGGCAGACGCCTTTGTGTTCCTTGCTGACCTGCCTGGGCCTCAACATCTTGTTCCTCACTTTGAATGAGGGTAAGAACTGCTTTTGGGGGCCAGTGTTTTTTTGTGAACAAATGGGGGAGCACTAAAATGTGGCTGTGTGTGAGGGAACCTTCCCTCTTCTTGCCCTGGGTTAGCGTCCTCCTGTGTCTGCTTAGTGTCAGAACACAGGCTCTGGACAGATGGTCCAGGCGGAAACACTTTGTGACCTTGGGCAAATTATTTAACCTCTCTGTTGAGGCCTAATTTTCCTCATCTCTAAAGGGAGGGTAATAATAATATCTTCCTCATAGGGTGTTTGTGAGGAATGGGATCTGTGTGTAACACTTAGTGCAGTGCCTGACACAGACTCTGCAGCCATCTTTTGCTGTTACCATTGTCACCTTCTTGGCTTATTTCTCACGCATTACCTTTTTCCATTTTGCTTTCCTAGCTGACTCAGGTCATTTGGGGACATTATTGGGATAAAGGTCTAGGAGGTTGAGCTGAGGAGGGATTTTTTGCCATGTTCATTGTTTTCTCTAGTCCAGCAAGTAAGCCTGGGCAGAAGGGAGGAGGATGTTCTGCTGGTAAGCTTCCAGTAGTGAAGAGAGGCAGGAAGCCTTGCGGAAGGTGTGTGGACAGGTGGGCGAACATAGTAGTCCTGGGGTTAAAGTCTCCTGTGGACCTCTGTTACAACGTATGCTGTGACTCTGTCCTTTCCCTGGTTAGAACTGGCAGATAGTTGTAGAAGAAGCAACTCCCTCAGGAAGTGAGGGAAAGGTCTAGGCCAGAATGTTCTGAGGAGCTCGTTCTTTATGTGTTCTTTCATACATTGCACTTGTATTTCTTAGCATCTCCTTTGTTTCTTGTGGAGGTAGGGAGTCAGGAGATTAAACATAAACCCAGTGCATACATATAAGATCTCATCTTCTTTTTCTTAGTTGGACTTTTCTTTGATCAAAACTTTGTAGCATGTTATGTTTTTTTGAATATATTTCTAGAGTAAATCAGGCACTATGACAGATATTTAGCAAACATTGATTATAGGCCTGCTGCTCTCTTAGCTTGTTTTTGGGATATTATATGACATGGGATTTGAATGTTTTCTCAGCCTTATTTTTCTCAATCCACAGTGTCCTATGGTATCCTACAAGCTAGAAAAGGGCTTCTAGTCTGACTTAGTGGCCCAAAGGTTTAAAATATCCATTGTTGGGGGCTCCCAACAGCTAGATTGTGGGCATGGACAACCTATTGTGTGCTGGCAGCATTTTTTAATGTATTAAAAATGAGGTTGGAGCTCATGCCAGCCCTTAAGCGCTTATATTAGTGGAGGAGACAGTGAACATACTCACAGTCTGTGGTGTGGTGATAAGATCTGTGAGGAAAAACAAATGGGCTGAGGGGCCTGGGGGAGTGGTGAGAGACTGCGCCTTAGCTGTCCTGCCTATGGGTGATCAGGAAAGGCCTCTCTGGCAGGGCCTTGGAGGAGGCAAGCACATGGGCATCAGGGTGGATAGGCTTAGCTGTGTTACCTGCAGTGTTCTTGATCCCTTAGGTGCATGGTACTCGGTGGGTGCCCTGGTGATTTCAGTGCCTGCCCTGCTGGGCTACCTGCAGGAGGTTTGCCGGGCACAGCTGCCTGAATCAGAGCTGATGCGGAGGAAGTACCACAGCATAAGGCAGGAAGACCTACAGAGAGTTCGGCTTTCTCGACCTGAGGCTGTGGCTGAGGTGAAGAGCTTGTGAGTACCGAAGAGAGGCCAGGGAGGTGAGGGAATGAGCCCTAGTACAGGAATGAAGCAGCCACCATGCTGAATGCTTGTTGTGTGCACCAGATGTCACAGTGGACACACCGCAGATGTCACTCCATTTAATCTTTTTAACAGTTCTGGGCGGTGACTGCTATTGTTACCCTCCACTTATGGCTGAAGACAAGGGCTTATATAGCTAGAAAGTAAGCTGGAATGAGCCTCCAGATTCAGTTGACGTCACAACTATGTTCTTTGGCCCTAGGGAGATAGTCTAGGGTCTCAACTAAACACTGCAAGCTGCTGCCTGGGTTCAAATCCCAGCTTTTCCACTTACTTAATGTAACATCGTATACATTGCTTCCCTGGGCCTCAGGTCCCTCATCTGTCAAATGGAATTGATGAAGGAGCTCATGCCGGGTGGAGATTGCTTGAGTGTTGATTACCCAGGAAGTGTTCAGTAAACATTAAGTCATCATTGCTATACTATGGAGAAACTTCCTAACGTCACAGCTGGTCCTTTGAGGAAGCAGCTCAAGACTGCTTAAGCTGTGCCAGCTTAGGGGATATGTGGCCTTTGCTGATTCCTTCCTTGGGCCAGGATCTATGAAGCTTTTGACATACAGCAAGAATGAAAAAAGTTAGAAACAAACAAATGCCTGGGCCCTGCCCAGAAATTCCGAGTGACCAGGAGTGGGATCAAGTATTAGGCTTTTTAAAAACCTTTTTTTTAACTGTGAAATAATTTAAAACTTACAGAAGAGTTGCATGGAAAAACACAAACAGTTCCCTTATGTCCTGTACTGTAGCTGGAACAGTTACTAACATTTTGCCACAGTGGTTTCAGCTATCACTCTACATATTTTTTTTCTCTGAACCATTTGAAGATCATGTCTATTTACCTTAAATACTTCAATGTGAATTTCCTAAGAACAAGGACTTTGTCTTACATATCTATAGCACTGTAATAGAAAGGAAATTTAATATTGATAACATGAACATTAGTACTATTATCTACATGTGGTTCATAGTCACATTTTAGTTCTATTAATAAAGTTCTTATCAGCTTCCCCTAACCCAGGATCCAATCCAGGATCCTGCATAAGTTGAGTTGTTTGTTTTGTGGTGCTAGGGATTGAACCCAAGACCTTTATGTGAGACAACTACTGTGTCTCTGAGCTGTGCCCCAGCCCTGAGATTCAGTTTTTATGTCTCTTTAGTTTCCTTTAACCTGGAGCAGTTCCTCATGACGACATACGTGAATACTACAAACTTATTCTTTTGTACAAGCCCCTGAGTTTGGATTGTTTGATTCCTCATAATTAGATTTAGGTTGTGCGTTTTTGGCAGATCTGTGACAAGTGATGTGACATTGTCACTGCCTTCTATCAGAGCACATGACATTAGAAAATACTAACTTTGATCATTTGCTTAAGGTTTTTCCCCTGTAAATTATCATTTTTACCCTTCAATATTAGTAATTTGAGGGGAGATACTTTGAGACTATGTAAATATCTTGTTCCTCATCAGAATATAACCACTGCTTTAAAATCCACTGATGGGGCTTGCCTTCGGTTTATTACTGTGATGGTCCAAGAGATGATTTACCAGTTATCATTCCATCTACATTTATTAGTGGGCATTCTATAGTATTTATTATCAGCATGAGTTCAAAGATTGTTATTTGATTCAGTGTGTTATAATCTATTGCTGTCATTTATTTTCATCTCAGATTGTTCTAGATTTGGCCAGCGAGACCACTTTCGAGCTGGTTTTAGTGTTCTTTTGATCATCATTTTCCAGTGCCTTCTTACTTTATAAAGGATGTTCACATTCATCTTATACCTTCCCTACCTCAGCTCTAGAAGTAGACATTTTCCCAAGGAACCCTTCAGAGACCAGATCTGGGTGTAGGATGTACTCAAGGCTTCTGAGGTACCTCTGTGTTAAACACAAAACTCCCCAAGTGAGTCTGCCTCACATCCTAGTTGGAGCAACATTGATCTGCAACCTGTCATTTATCCTCACAGCTGATGTGTACCTGTGAGTTGGGTCCTCTGATTCTCATTTTACATATGAGGGAACTGCAGCCCTGAAAAAATGAAGTAGCCTGCCTGATACTAAGAGCTAATAAGAGCAGAAACTTTGAATTATATCTGTCTCAGCAGGGGCTCCAAAAAGAGGGACTGAAACATATTTGGAGCATCTTGGCCAGGTCCTCTTCTCTCAGTCTCTGAAGAGATTGACCACCATTTGCCAGCCTGGGCCTTTGAGGTTCCAGGCTCTGCTTCCTTGGATGGGGCAGGGCCTGCCCACTCACAGAAGCCCCTGTGTCTGCAGCTTGATCCAGCTGGAGGCCTTCTTGACACGCCTGTGCTGCACCTGTGAGGCTGCCTACCGTGTACTACACTGGGAGAACCCTGCAGTGTCTTCACAGTGAGTGGTCTCCCCACCCTTCTGCCTCCACCACTCTGTAGAATTTGCAGCTCAGACCTCTCCTCTGCCAAGTGAAGGCAGCTGCCTTGAAAGGATTCTGCCCCTCCTACTTCAGGAGGAGCCCCCCAGGCCCTTGTGTGTAGATGTGCTCCAGTACTGCTGGGTTCTAATTAGTTGCTTTTGTTTAGTTGCTTTTTAAAAAATGTGTGGTAAAAGTACTTTAATAATAGAGAATAACTCACATGTAATCTACCACCGTGATACAGTAGCTGACTTCACGTTTGGTTTGCTTTCTAGAGCTAGTCATGTGATAGATTTTATAGACTCAGAGCTTCATAGTGCTTATGAGATTTCCTTGTCTCATTTTCTTTTTCTTTCTTTTTTTTTTTTTTTTTAAACTAATTACATCTTAAATGGTTTTCTTTGTTGCTATAAAACCTTTGGTATTGTTTGTAATATCAGAATAATATAGACTGTGAGTATATTATAACTTATGGAACCATTCTGTTATATGGTTAGTCAATACCTATTTTTTATTACTAACTCTATAGTGATTACTTTATGAATTTAGCTTTAGTATTTTGAAATTTTTTTCTTAGAATAAGCTTGAAGATGAAACTACTACATCAAATGGAATGGATGTGTTTGAGGCTCTGTATATGAATAATAATTATAACTAGTATTTATGTAGTCTTCATTTTGTACAGGCATTGTGCTCAACACTATGTATTATCTCACTCTTTGTAGTAACCTGTTGAGATGGCCCTGTTTTAATCCTTATTTTATGGGCCAAAGAAGTAATACTCAGAAAACCAAGGGACTTGTACAAAGAGAAGTGGCAGAGCCAGACTTAGATCTGTGTCTAGACCTTAGAGTCCATCCTCTGGGAGTCAGTTCACATGCCCCCAGCCTCAGACCCCAGCATGAACCTTGCCACCATCAGTTGTTAGAAACCAGTGACTTGTTGGTACTTCTGAATCCTTCCTCATTATGATTTTCCACTGATCTGTTATGTAGATCTTGCCAGTTTAACTGTGCCCGGGCTATTTCTCACATAGGTCCCTATGTGAGTGTGCTCCAACCTATTTCCTTCTGATCTTATGAATTTCTGATCATCCAGGTTCTATGGGGCTCTTCTGGGCACAGTTTGCATGCTGTATCTGCTGCCACTGTGCTGGGTCCTCGCCCTCTTAAACAGCACACTCTTTCTGGGGAACGTGGAGTTCTTCCGAGGTAAGTCTGATACTTGGGGCCTAGGCCAGCTTTGAAGGCTCTCTGCTTTGTCTCTACATCTCATCCTCTGCTGTGCTTTCCACAATGGGGCAGTACCACACTGGGGTCCTTTCTTGGAGAACCCTGGATCTCTGAGATGTTATTAGAGTAGGCTGACATCGCACCAGGGGAGGCTGCCACCGGAGCAATCCCCTTTCCTTTCTCAAGGAGAATGAACCACTGCTTCCTGAGATGGTGGCTTCTTGGAGATAAGGGAGGGCTGTTTTCTTAAAGCTGCCACCCGTTCTCTGGGCAGTAGCCACCTGGAGTTGCTGCCACAACTCTGTGTAATCGCAGAGTCTGCTGTCTGGCTTTTAAAATGCCACAGCAGTCTGGAGAGGCCCTGTGCTTGAGTGATTGCTATGTTGGTTTTCCTCCCTCTGTGGGGTAATTTGTGGAGTACTTACTATGTTGAATCTCTAGCTACCTGGAGTAGCTGGTGGTGTCTGTATTGCTCATGAGGCTTAGGTTGGGTGATTTGCTCAGTTAAGAAGGCAGCTCTTCCTGTAGCAGAGGGCAGGGTGCTAGTGGTGGAAGTGGGCACCCCCAATGCACCATTCAATCTGTCTGTGTCTGTCTCCCACCCTGTTTTCCTTGCCCTGGGTAGTGGTGTCTGAGTACAGAGCATCTCTACAGCGGCGGATAAGCCCCAAGCAGGAAGAGGGAGCTTTTGAAAGTCCACCACCACTTGACAATGGGGGAAAGGGTACTCTGCTGGACAGCACACCTGCCCCCACACCCACAGAGGTGAGTGCCCTGAACCATTAGTGAGAGCCAGCTGTGTCCAAGTTGGGAGTCTTCCTCTTAACCAGCTTGTTCATAGTGCATAGCTCCTAGACTGGCCCTCTGTGGTGATTCCTGCTTCTTCCCAGGCCACATCTCCTTTGGAGTGCTTAATAATAATAAGAGTAAAAAACAGCTACCCTGTGCTTTACTTAGTCTTACTTTGTGTCAGATGCTGTTCTGAGTGCCTCATAGCTATTACTCCATGGAGTAGGTTGTGTTTGAAAATGAGATTGTTGTCAGTGGTTGAAGAGAAGACTGAGTCACAGAGTGGCTTCTCAAGGCCTCGTGGTTTTGTGTGTGTGTGTGAAAGGGTGCAGAGGAAGAGGGCTGAGTTTCATACCAGGCCCTGTAGTTCCAGAGCCCTGCTCTTTGCCATTGTAAGTCCCGCTGTGGTCTTGTTCCCATCGCACTGGCCCTGTGAGGTTAGAGATTGCTTCTTTCCCAGGACTTCCTTTCCTGCAGTGCGCCTTTCCTATGGGGAAGGACCGGAGAGGTGCTTAAGGATGTGGTTCAGGACAGGTGGCCCTCGATTGCGGGGAGCAGGGTTCTGTTCTTCTTCTCATGTCTTCAAGTCTCTTTTCCTAGGACCTCACGCCAGGCAGTGTGGAGGAGGCTGAAGAGGCTGAACCAGATGAGGAGTTCAAAGATGCAATAGAGGTGGGTGGCCCTTCCCCACACCCTCTGTTGACCAGGCAGCAGTTGGGTGGTGCTGGAGTTGTGGGCTTTTTTATTTTTCTATATCCATGTTGGAAGTCTGAACTTGCTTTGAGCTAGATCTTACTGGTTGAAAGAGTCCCACTGTCCCCTCTTTGTTCTGTAGCCTGTCATCTGTCCTGGGTGCCCAGGGAAGGAGTGACTGTGCAGGTCTATGGGAAGCCCCACTGGGGTGCTAATGATTTCCTCCATTTACTGGAGACGTGGGCTCAAGTGCCTTGATGTAGATAGGACAGATTTGGAGGAGGCCCCTGCCCTGAGTCTCTGCTCCTCTATAGAGTGAGTTCTATGGATGTCCCTTTAGGAGGTTGGAGAAAGTGGTTGCATGGCTAAGTGTGGTCAGGGGAAGTTCAGCAGCCTTCTTGATTTTAGCACTGTGGTTTAAATTGATACTTTGCACAAGTGTTTTATTTGGCTTCTACACTTTTAAAATAATTTTTTGAGCCAATGTTTAGGAGATTTTAGTTAGAATGAGGAGATTTTAGTTAGAACTCTAGCTTTTCAGTTTCTCCAGCAGCCTTAATTCTGCAGCAGTCAATATAGCTGAGACACCACTGTCTGCTTCAGACAAATCATGTGCTACAGTTACACATATTCCTCAACAGTCCTGTCTGGTCATGATAGCCTAGTGACCATTATTATTTATTGTCACCTTTACATTGTGGTTTTTCTTAGAGTAGGAAATCATTTCTCTATGTCTCTTTGTAAAGTGGAAGATTGAGATGTGAGCAGTGGAGGTCATGGGAATTCTTACCAGGCCTTTACTGCTATACAGCCCAGACCCTGTGAGGATTCAAAATTTTGACTGTTACAAGATTTCTCCAAGACTTGATATGTGAATGGAGGCTATGAGCCTGGGGAGGGTGGAGCTATGTGTGGCAGGAACTTTCCAGCATTTTTGTGTATTATCGTAAGGGACACCTTTTGCATCTTGATGCAGTTCACATCTCTGTTTGTAAAATATGTAAAACTTAAGTGAAACAAAAATTTTCTGAAAAGACATCATAAGGGATATATTTTTTCCAACTCTGTTCTGTTTTATTTGAATAATGGCCCAGTGTAAAAAGAGTAGGACACAGATTTCTCCAAGCATCTTTGATGCTGGACTCCTTTTAGGGAGGGCATCTGTTAACCTTACCCTGTGGCAGGTGCTCAGAACTCAAGAGTAGCATGGCTAAGTTAACTTTGGCCTAGAGGCTCCCCTCCTGTTCCTCCTTGCTCCTGCTATCTGTCTCTCTGTTTTCTCTCTTCTCCCCTGCACCTTGGGAGGCAGGAGACCCATTTGGTGGTGCTGGTAAGTAGGAGTGTTGTGAGGTGGACAGGGGCTTGGCTGGGTGGAGGGAGGGTGGCTGAGCTGGCTGTGCTGCACCTCATGGGGTCTGCTGTGTCCAGATGCCTCTGCACTCAGGTCCTCAGCCTTGCCAAGAGGTGGGCAGGACTGGAAGGAGCTGTTCCCACAGGAGGATGACGAGGGCGTCCCGTGCCCAGCAGAGGATGAGCTGGCTCTGCAGGACAATGGGTTCCTGAGCAAGAATGAGGTGCTGCGCAGCAAGGTGTCACGGCTCACAGAGCGGCTCCGCAAGCGTTATCCTACCAACAACTTTGGTATGGCCAGGGAAGTGGAGCAGAGGTGGAACGGGGTATCCAGGAGGAACCAGTGGGACTAGGGTGACACTTTGGCCACAGAGACAGAGTCCTGGAATTATGTGTACTGATTGTGACTAGAGCAAGGAGTAAAGATGTCTGTGGGCCAGCAGGAGGTTAGCATATATTCAGCAGAACGTATGTCCCCTTTTAAACATTAGTTTACAGGAAGTTCCCAGTGTAGGAACAGCCACACCAGAACTGCAGAGAGCTCTAATCCTGAGGAAGCGGAACCTCGGAGGCAGTGCAGCAAGCTAAGAACTGCTGTAAATCCTAACTCAGCTGGGTGTCCTGGCCCCCATGCCTCACTTTCCACTTCTGGAACTGGGTATAGTAGTTCTTATAGGGTTGTTTTCTATGTCTCAGATGTGATAGTACTTGTTAAGAGCCAGCGCAGAGCCTGGCTGGTTTATAGAAAGTGCTTAGTAAACGGGTACTGTTAATTCAAGAGGCTCTGGCCCATCCTGAGGTTCCTGGGGCCTGCCTTGGTCTTTCTGATCCAGCTAGAAGCAAGTTCGAATCAAAAATATTTTCCTCTGGACATGGTAAAGCTCTGGGGTCACTTCTCCCAGCCAAGTCCCAGCCTTCATAGTAAAGGAGGGAACTTGGAGAAAGGTGGACTTGATTATAAGCACACCTTGGAAGCCTGGCTCAGATCTGGAGCCCTGGGAGCAGAGCCAGTAAAAATCTAGGTGGAAACCTAGAGTAGCTGATGACCTGAGAGCTGTGTGTTCTGGTGTGCAGTAAATTCTAGGTCTGTGCCAGAGAAGCCCATGGAGTTGCTCTTGAGTGTCTGCCTCTCTGCCCTGACAGCGGTTGTTTTCTCAGAATTAGAGGTCATGGACCTGTCATTCCCTTCTGACATTCAAGATTCTTTCTATTTGTGCTGACCACAGACTTCTGAAGAACACTGTGAGCTCTGTGCACTTTGCTATACAAAGTCTCAGTTAGTCCTTGAGGTAGAGGTGGTCAGGCAGGCAGTTCTTATGGGTCCAAAAGCTTCCATGTTCCAGAAGTCCCAAGTAACACTCCAGAGAACTACTACTCCTGGTCCAGCAGACTATCTGTTTACATTTCTGCATTTTAAGTAAAGATACTACATACATGTTCCCATTTTGAAGATGAGTAAACTGAGGTGAAAAGAGACTTTAGCTTGTGAATGCTAAATCTGAGCCTCAAATCTAGGTCAACTGATTTGGCCCTTGTGTCCTTTCTGTCTCATCTATCTCTCTCTGATTTTCCTTTGTTCTGGTGTCAGAAGTCTCTAGTTTTATTTCTGCCTCATTTTTAAATTTGGCTTTTGGTCTAGATATTCCTTGCCAGGAGGGAAAAAGGCCTTGCAGGTACCCTTGAGGATGGTAAAGGCAGGACATGATTTTTTCCCTAAGCCCTTCCTTCCTCTTCATCCTTCTGGACTGCTCATTTCCCCTGCTGAGATGTCCTCGAGCTCTTTGATGTGAGGGCAGGTGTAGTAGCTCTGCTTCCAAGGTGTTGCCCCCTGGTCTGGGTCCCCAGGTCAGGGTGAGGTGGGCTGCTTTGGAGGTTATCTTACTCCCTCTGTGCTGTTGTATGAAAATACTCTAAACTGGGTGGCTTATAAGTAACAGAAAAATTTTCCCACTGTTCCAGAGACTTTGAGTCCAAGATCAAGGAGTCAGCCCAATCGAGTTATGGGGATGGATTGGTTCATAGAGGGTACCTTCTTGTTACCTCCTCACAAGGGACATGACTGTTGCCCTGGCAGGCCCATGTGGCCTTAGGCTCTCTCTGCTCTATAGGTGTTCTAGGGTAGATGTTGGAAGGAACAGGGCTACTCCCCTCAATCACCTGTGTGAGCTGTTATCAGCTTTGAGAGTGCTCCTTGGCCCGAGGCCCGTGTGGGTACACAGCTGTTGCACTGGACTGTGGGACTGCCATTGAGTGCTTGGTCCTGGCTTTCTTTACAGTTCAGAAGAATTCCTGGATACAGGCCTGAGTGCCAGTACTGGAGTAGTTCCTTTCCCTGTCCCATTGCTCTGACTCCTTGCTACAGGAGTCGGGGGCAGGTGGACTTCACCCAGTTCTTAGGGGAGCAGCAGTGTCCTTTATCACCGTTAGGCGTTCGCTGTGTTATTTTCCTTCCTTCTGCTTGAGCTACGAGCTGACCAAAGTAGTGGGCATTACCTCCCATACCTTGGCCTCAGTCCTCCTGGCTCTGGCCAGTCTTCTGTTTCTTGATCTCTGAGGAAACCTCCTTTAGCAAGAGCTCTAAGTGCTCCCAGCTGGACAGAAGAAGGAAGTGCATGGAGCTACCAGTACAGCGTTGATTCATTATGTGAAGGTGAGGCCTGGCTTTATCTCTGGCCAAGCACTTGACCTGGGAGGCACAATAGTGCTCCCTGAGCTAGTCATTACTCTGGCCAAATCACAGCAGGCCTTGGCCCCTTGGCCCAGAAACCTGCTCCTTCCCCATCATTCATCTCTCCTTCATCTTGCCTCTCCCAGCCATTTTTCTAAGCTGCCATCATCTGAAGCTTTGGCATCTTGTCATCGTTGGTGGTTTAGGAAGGATCCCTGGCTTGCCCACCACTCATGGTACTTGAGCATCCTGCCCTCCAAGAACTTCCTGGCAGCAGAGAGCAGGAGTGTACATTTTCAGGAGGCATTTCCATTCCTGCCCTATGGGCAGAGTATCTGTAAGGGAACACTGGAAGGGGTCATGCCACTGAGGGTGTGTGGGTTAGGTCCCTTCCAGCTTGGCTGGATTCTAGGGAGGAGATTCTCAGGATGTTCTTTGATTTCTACTGAACCTGCATGTGGGCTGTTTAGCTCTGGAAGGGCGCATGCAGGACTAGAGCCACAGGTGGCCTGGAGACAGTGGCTTCTGGGGGCTGTTTGGCTTTTCTCCAGTTCTGAATCTGGACCTTTCTCACTGAGCCCAGCCAAATAACTGGTTTGGGCTGGTGTTCTGAGTGCCCCATTTAGAAGAGCCAGGAGCAGGGAGAGTAAAGTAGCTGGGGCTTGGTCAAGGCTGAGTTGCTGCTGCCTCTGTTTCTCAGGGAACTGTACCGGCTGCTCTGCTACCTTCTCGGTGCTGAAGAAGAGGGTAAGTTTCTGAGGCTGTTTGCTGGGGACACTGTGTGGGTTGTGCAGGAGTTGAAGGGAGTCATGGATGAAGTCTGATTCCTCAGGTCACAGTTTGCAGGCAAACTCCCATGGTTTTGCCTTTACCAGTTTTCCCATGGGCTGTACCATCCGGTTGATTTCCTGCCCACCTGGTGCCTCCCCAGTTCCAGTCTCCATGGGTAGGATTGGCCAGTGAAAGGGAGGGAGGTACTTGGGGGTTCCCGCTGTCTGAAGGTGGTGGCTCAGTTTGGCATTGACTTTGGTTCTTGCCTGCAGCGAAGCTGCAGTAACTGTGGAAACAGCTTCTGCTCTCGATGCTGCTCCTTCAAGGTACCCAAGTCCTCCATGGGGGCCACAGGTGAGTGGTGCAGGTGGATGGTGGGTCACAGTGGGGGGTTTGGCTGCTTTCTGCTCCTGAAGAGGAAGGCTGCATTGTGGGAAAGGCGCAAGGACATCCTTGTCCAAGGCCTGCAGGAACGATCCCCAGCCTGTTTAGCAAATAAAAACCAGAAACATTTGATAAGTCTGAAGAATGGATACAATTTACCTGGGAATGATGAAACATTGCACAGAAATGAATACCTGTTGACAGATTCCCACAGTTAACACATACCTCAGGCTCCCCTTTGCCTTTCCCACATGAAACCACCAGCCTGAATTTTACTCTTTTTTCATTACCCTCATAACTTTTTTTTTTTTTGTTGATGGTACTAAGGTTTAAACTTAAGGTTTTATGCTTGCTAGGCCTCTTGAGCTATACCTCCAAGTCCTTTTTGCTCTGGTTATTTTGGAGATAGGGTCTTGCTTTTTGCTTAGTCAGTCCTGGACTGAGTTCCTCTTATTTTATGCTTCCCACCATAGCTGGGATGACAGGCAGGAGAACCACCATGCCCAGCTTTTTTTCCTGTTGAGATGGGTTCTTGTGAACTTTTTTGTTTGGGCTCTCCTAGAACTATGCTCTTCCTGATCTCAGTCTCCTGAGTAGCTGGAATGACAGGAGTGCACCACTAACTCAGATTGGTTGAGATGGGGTCTCATGAACTTTTTGCTGGTCTCTGGATCTCAGCCTTCCATGTAGTTAGGATTTCAGGCATGAGCCACCGGCACCTGGCTGCCTTGGTAACTTTTTTTTTCTTTGTGGTTCTGGGGTTTGAACTTAGGGCCTCGTGCTCGCTAGGCAGGTGCTCTACCACTTAAGCCACTCCTCCAGCTCTTGGTAACATTTTTAACAAAATGAAAATAATTTCTCTTCTTTTCATAAGCTGTACTTTTTTGTAAATAAAACATAGACAAGCAAAAGGAAGAAAAGTAAAAGTGTCCCAGAGAGAGTGGTTGGCCTGCCTATCACAGCACACACATAGGGTGTACATAGGATACATGCATATGCACACTCTTGAAAAATGTGGCCATGTGTTGGTTACTGCCCTGTGGTATGTTAGTGAAAGACCAAGTTGTTTTTTTCCTTTCTGATCTTACAAGTAACACATGCTTATTAACTAGAAAATTTGGAAATGACTATATAGAAGAAGGAAGAGAAGAATAATCCTGTAATCTTACCACCCAGAGATAACCACTGTTAAAACGTTTTGGGGGAATTTTCTCTGGTATTTTACTTAAAAAAACATTTCAAAAAGTGTTCTGTTGGTGCCAAAAGAATTTCTAATGCATAAAACACCTGGGAGAGGCCTGCTGTTGGCATCATCACCCCAGAGTCCCTGGTTCCTTTGGAAGGGCTGTGTCTGAGGCAGGCAGCAAGCTGGTGGTGGTGGGGAAGGGTATGGGCTGGGCGGTGGGTGGTCTGTCTGGGGAGGTGGTTCTAGTATTTGGGGCCATGAGCCAAAGGGCACAAAGAAGTGTCTCATCAAGTTCTTCTTCCTTTCCAGCCCCAGAAGCCCAGAGAGAGACTGTGTTTGTGTGTGCCTCATGCAACCAGACCCTGAGCAAGTGAGGCGAGAGGCCAGGCTCCAAGTGGCAGTAGTCCTGGGGCTAGCAGTAGGCCCCGACTTTCCCCTCTCTTGGCCCATGTGGTGTGTGCTAGGCAAATATGGCCTGAATGCTAGGTAGGCTTCCCTGTGCTTCCCCTGCTGTCTTCAGCCAGGATTGGCAATGCTGTGCTCAAACCCTAGGGGAGAGGAATCCTGGAGGGCCTGGCTATTTTTCCTGCTCTGCCCTAGGCTGAATGAACTGAGGGCTGGCCAGGGAGTGTCCACCAGAGGGCAGCAGGGAGCTAGGCCTGCTGTCAACTGGGCTCTGATGGTCAGGGCCAGTGTGGTTAGGCCTGGGGATTCCAGGAGACCTGTGATTGGGAAAAGAAGTTCTTCCCTGTGGTGTATGGGACCAGTCCCTTGGCCTCAGAGAGCCTGCAGAAGGACTTGAGCACGATTCCCCAACTCTTGGATTTGAGTGGCCCTCCTCAGGTACCAAGGTATAACCATGTCTCCGTCAGAGGTTGTGGCCAGGCCTAAAAAGAACAGGAACAATCTTGAAGCAGAGTTGAAGTTTCCAGGTTCCCCAAAAGGGTGTGTGCTCAGGGGGGCTGGTTGAGTGCTTTAGTATCAGGTGGAGCATAGCATGGGGAAGCAGAGACCTTGCCACCTGGCAGAGACCTTGGCTTGCACAATCTCAGCCCACGTAATACTCTGGTGTCATCACCTCCACTGGGGTGGCTGTGGGGCACTCACATCATTCCTGCTTCTCCTGCCCCGAGTTTAGGGTACTCCTTCCCTGACCTAGTGCCACATCTCCCTTCCTTGCCCCTTGTCCCATGGAGTGTGAGGTCAGGTGAGTGGAGCAGAGGTCCTGGGAAGTGTAGGATCTTGCTGTGCTGGATCCTAGATTCCAGGGCCATCTGCTGGAGGACAGTCTTGTTACAGGATAGAGCCACTTGGTCAATTTCATGTTCTTTCTGAACTTTGAGGGAGCCAATGTCTTCCCTAAGCTGTGAACTGGCTGCCCCTCCCCCTGCCCCACCACTATCCTGCTTTTCAGAGTATTTATTTATTTATTTCATGGTTCGTGGGATCATGCATCACAAGGAGTGAGATGAAGAGGGAAGAGGGGATTCCTCTGGCTGGGACTCTTGCCTGGCGTCATGAGCTACCTGGGACCCTAATCCATAGCAGCAGAGATGTTTCTATTCCCTAAGCAGGGACTGGTGATGCAGTTTGGAGACATGTGACTCCTCTCAGGCCAGCTTTCCCACCAGGCCATGCAGTGCAGCGAGGGCTTGGCAGCTGGTGCCAGTCTGTGGGGAACCAGGCAGGCTTGGTTTACCCCTTTGTCCCAGTAGGTTATAGGGGTTAAGTTGTGTTCTTATTTACATGGGAGAGTGGTGGAAAGGAGTTTTGTGTCTGTGGAAAATGGTCAATAAAAGGCTTCAAACTTCTTATGCTTTTGTCCTGTCCTTGTTTAGTGTTCTCCCTGGGCTGGAGAACCAGTTCTGGCACTGCCTGAGTTTTCAGGCCTTGCTGGACTTGCAGTCTGTTTGTTGTCTGGGTGAGCCCACCCTACAAGAGGAAAGCTGTGCTTTGTACTCAGGGGTTCTCAGCATATGCTAGTGAGGTTGCTTGGGGCTCTGTCTTGTGATCAAAATGAGGACCTGGGGCTGGGGTTGGGATTGGGACCAGAACTTGGTAAATGCTAAACAATTCAGGCTTTAGAATGGAAAGATTTCAGCTAATCTGTCTGTGAAAGCCAAAAAGGATCAGTGCTCAGGGAGGCTGAGAGCCAGCAGGAAACAGGCTGGCTTTGAGAGCTGGGGTGGGTTGGTTGTTTCTTGGGTGCAAGGCACTGTGCTAAGAGCTCTGCACACATTACTTATTTGTACCTGTGAGGTAGGCACTGTTCTCTCTTTCAAGGCAGTAGCACAGATTGTTGAACAGTGGGTGTCTACTGTGGGCCAGCTCCATGCTCATCCCACCTTACCCTCTGCCTTACCACTGGCTGGAGTGGGGCTAGAGGAAGTTCCCTGGTCTTTCTGTGCCACTTTCCTCATCTGTGAAATGGGCCGACAGTGATGTTGGCCTCATGGGCTGTTGTGAAGATGAAATGAGTGGCTGTCTGTAGGAGGCTCAAAGCACAGCCTCATGGCTCAGCCATGCCATCCTCACAGCCTTCGGGCAGACCCCACAACTCTGCTGTGTGTGGCTTAGGATAGTAATTTTTTTTTTTCTTTTAAGCCAGAGAATAATTTTAGATTATTTACCAGGAGACTCTCAGCGCCATGAGTGTGGTTTGAGAAAGCAGCATCAATGTCATTGCATTTTTATCTTTGGGAGATGAAAACAGGAGGAACTGAGGAAGGCTGCCTTGTGGGGCATGGCTCACAGATGTGAGAAACTCAAGAGTTTTCCCCCTTGGGGGTCAGCAGCTTCGGATGGGGAAGCCAGGGGTCACCTTGTCTCCTTGGGTGCATGTGAGAGCAGGCAAGGGATGTCATGGTTAAAGTGCAGGTCCTCTGAGAAGGAAAAGCCACAGAGGGATGTGGTAGGATTAGTGGTGTTGACAGCATGCTGGGGTCAACAAGGCTGAGAGGACCTGCTGCGGGATGGCCTGGGAGACAGACTGTCCTCTGTATGCCTGGTTTGAAGGACACCTGCCAGTTTGTTCTCAGGCAGCTGGGGGAGGGGACATGCAGCCAGGTTCTGTCTCAGCCCTTGCACCTGCTAGGTCAGGACTGGGACCCCAGGCCTGCTTGCCTTGGTTCTGTCAGTGCTGTGTTGAGTCTCCCAAGAAATCTGTGGTCCTTGAATAGGCAGTACTTTCTGGGATCTTCAGGATCTGTGACCTGGCCTGAAGCCAAATGAAGCTACATCTCCTCCCACCCACCCTTTTGTCCTGGGAACCTTGGAGACACCATCTCAGACTGGCCTGGCCCCTTCTGCCTCTCAGCTCGTGGCTCTTAGAATAATAGCAGTACCTATGTTCATCAAGTGCTTGTGCCAGGCAACTGTGTGCAGTACTCATTTCACCTAGCCCACAGTTAGATTCCTTCACCTGACTGATGAGCTGATGGTGGCACTGGGAGGCTAAGTAACCAGCCCCAGGCCATAGAGCCGAACTGGGAAGCTGTGGAGCTGGATGTGAATTGTGCTGTAGGTGTTCCTAGAGGCCTCGTATCAGAGACTGAGTTAACATAGCACCTCCCCTTTTCTGCCTGGTCCCCACTAACTCAGGAGCTAGCTACTGAGCTAACAGGAGGGGCCTATCCACATCCCCGCTTCCGCACCCCACAGCTCCAGGAGAACAGAGGCAGCCTTGTGGCAGGAGCCTTACTTTCCCAGTGCCCAGCGACCCCACCTCCTGTCTACAACACCAGAGTAGCACATTCCATTCTCTGGCTCAGCTGGGGGCTGGGGATTCTGGGTCCCTTTGGCTGCCTGCCTTCTTCACAGCCCCAGCAGAGCCTGCTGTCTGTGCTGGGACACTGGGTCCCAACCACACACATTCCAGCAGCAACTACCCCCCACGTCACATTTCCCAAGGAGGGAACTTCAGCCAGGATTATGGTGACCAAACAGTAGTGGAATGTGAGCTTCCATTGTGGGGAGCTGAGGCTGGACCCTGGTAGGGTGAGAGGAGAGGAGTGCCTAGGGTGGGTTGTCTCTGAGAATCCAGAGGGCCACTGGCTCCTCCGCCTGTTGGGACTATTGCGGTGGGGTTCCTGAAAGGCAGGCTGGTGGAAGCATGGCTGCTTGTACCCCCTGGCCTATTCTTGGCTTTACCTCTGCTGATAGTAGTATAGTGATCAGGAGCATGAGGCCAAATCCCAGCACACCATATATGCCGTGTGACCTCCAACAAGTACCTTTGCCTCTCTGAGCCAAAGCCACTATCATTAAAATGTACTACCTCAAAGGGCTACTGGGACGCTTAAATTCGAATGTGAAAGAGTTTTCAGTAGTGTTGGCTGCTCATCATGGCTTTGATATTTATTCATTTCTAGTATTAGAGTTCTCCCCAATACCTGTTTGGTTTTGTTTTGTGGTATTGGGGATTGAACCCAGGGCCTCAAGCTTGCTAGGCAAGCTCTTACCACTTGAACCTTGCCCTCAGCCCTTTTATTTTGATTTTGACATAGGGTCTTGCTAACTTTTGCCCAAACTGGCCTCAAACTGGCAATCATCCTGTCTCTGCCACTGGAGTAGTTGGGATTATAGGCATGTACCACTATTGCCAAGCCCTAATACTGGTTTATATAGTACCTGGGGATGTAGTTCTGAAGCAAAATTCCAAATGTAGATTAATTTTTATTTTTAGATAAAATACTTCTGCCTTTCTGCCAGCCATATATCTTAGTTGATTAAGGAGTCAGGAATTCTGCTAAGTACCTACTATGTGTAGGCATGGCTAGGTTATGACTTTGGTTAGTAAAAACACAAACAGCCATGTAATGAACATCTAAATGCCATGCATTGTTTCCAGGTTCTTGCCATGTGTTTAACGCTTACCACTCAGCACCTCTGCAGTGGAGGCGCTTCACTCCATTTTTCAGCTGGCAGTGTTCTCAGTGTCACACAGCTGCCCAGTCTCAGGCTTGGAAGCCAGAACCCCACTGTACTCCCTCTTCTCACCTACCCTCAGATGCTTCCTGTTTTATATTGGAACTCTGATGTTCCCAACTGAAAAATGTGACTTCCTCTGCAAGCGGGGGTGACTGTGTGCCTCTGTTCTGGCCATGTGCCAGAAGTGGAAATCTACCAGGTGGGACTAGTTGGGAAATTACTGTTTTCCTGATGAGAAGGACTGGAGGCAGCTGACATGCGGGTTTTGCTCTTAGCCCTTCTCCGCCTTGCTGCCTGGAATGTGGTTGTGAAATGAGGAAGAAGAGGCACTGTCTTATAACCACAAGATCACCCTCCCAGAGGAGGAAGACAGGAGTCTGGGATAGACCCTTCTCCCCAACCCCCACCTCTAGACCTTGTGTGTGGAAAGGCTTGCACTTTCCTCAGTGGTATGTTCTGTTTCATGTGGTCAGAGGCCGTCCTTCACCAGTACCATGGGCCATGGTATGCTCAGGCAGTTCAGCTGCAGGATCTGTGCAGCCAGGAAGAAGGAGGACAACGCAGCAAGCAGAAACTGGAGTGAAATAAGGGCAGGGGACAGGGTTTGGGCTGGGCAGGGCCTCTCTGGTCTCTGGGAGGATTCTTCTTGGTCCCAGAAAAGATGTGTGGGGCCTGGTAGCAGGTGTGAGGCAGTGGATGTAGAACAGAGCCCTGGCCCCACGTGTGGGTGCTGGGAGTGCCTGACCTGGCTTCATGGGGTGGCTGAGGACCTCTCCCCACCCCACTGCTCCTGACAGAGGTCAGCATTGTAACTTCAGCCAGAGGCAGCCCACGGTCTGTGTGCTCTGTGGAAAAATAATCCCTAGTCCTGGTTGACCATAGAAGTGTCCGTAAATATTTGGTCGGGGCAGGAGGCTAGGAGACAAGGAACAGATTCAGGGAGCCAGGTGGGCTGGGCAGGGTTTGGGCAGGGTGGGTGGTAGTGGCTTTGCCAAGGTGGAGGAGAAACAAGTAGACCTTTGCTGCCTCCTGGACTGTGCTGAGGCTACCTGACTGCTCAGGGTGGTTTATGGGCAACTTGTCAAGCCACCTGTTACCGAGACCTTGGGGAATGTAGCTCACATTGATCCCACCGCATAGTTCAGCCTCTGGTCTTTTTGGAGAAATGTCATCCAGTTTATCCCTGGTGACATTTTCCCAAGGTGATGTGCTCCCCAGAGTGGTTTTCCTTACTCATTGCTACTTTGATTTGGATGAATAGCAGTTCTTGATGGGACATGGCATCCTAGATCCACCCTACTGGCCAGGAAAGACCCTTAGGCATTGCCCTGCCTTCTGCTCTGGGGACATCTGCCCTGTCCCTCCATGTCTACTGATGGGCCCTGGGCTCCGCAAGGATCTCTTTCCTGGCACCACCCCTTTCAAACACTGGCTATCTGCGTGGCAGCTGCCTCTTACCTCCATTTGAGGCCTTCTCCCTTCCCTGCTCCATCCACTCCAAAGTGGCTGCAGCAGGTCCCAGTCCCTCACCCTCTCCCCGCCTCAGATGTCACCTCGTCCTGATGGGGTTCTCAGCCTGGTTGCACCTCACCCAGGTGGCATCTAAGATGATGATCTCTGGACAACTCCCAGAGAGCCCATTTTAGTTGCATTGGGGTGGAGCATAGTGTTTTGTAAAAGCTGTGTAGACCGTTTGCTGTTTATGTCTTAAAATGCAGATTCTGATACCACAGGTCCAAGTTGAGGCCTGGGATTCTGCATTCCTAACCAGCTCCTAGGTGATAGGGCTGCTGATGGCCAAGGGAGCATGCTTAGAGTAGCACCACTGTACAACATCTGTCACCTACAGGTCAGTATCGGTGCTGAGGGGTGGCTGAAAACCTTTGGGGAGAAGTGATGTGTCCAGTGCCTCAGGCATAGTTCCCTGGACTCCTCACAACCAGGGGATATGCTGTGGGACTCTCCTGGCCATGGAGCAGGCTGACTAACTTGGCACTTCTGTTCTTCTTCAGGGACAGAAGGCAGTCACCTCCATCCCTCACAGTGGTTGGGATGCAGAGGTGACCCTTGCCATGTGCTCTTGGGAAGCCACAGAAACAGGCATGCCAAAGGAGGTCTGTGTGGTCAGGCTGTGGGTTAGGATAAGGATGTCTTGCTAAAAATCCATTTGAACTTCCATAACCCTCATCTTCTTTGGAACTAGTTGACAAATCATCTGGTCCAAACCAACTTTTGTTTTCTTTCATTTAATTAAAAACTTAAAAAAAATTAATGAAACCTTGCCTGTATCTGTGGTCCAGAACCTATGGCCCCACAGCAGTAGCAATAACTTATCATTACCAGGGGCAGAGGGAGAGCAGGAAGCTGGGGAATGAGCCCCCAGAAGAGCTTGCAGGATAGGGTATATGCAGGGTTGGGGCTGGGCCTGCTTGCCAGTTCACCAGGCTCAAGGCCTAGGGTAGAGAATTGGTCTAGATGGGAAAGCAGGGTGTGGCCAAAGGGCATTGGGAACCTAACTCCTGTTCCTTGGAGTGCTGCAGTAAGGGCACAGAAAGGAGCAGTGGGGGAGGAAACTGTCCCCAAGCAGCTCAGCCTAACACTGAGACCCTCTCAGAGGCAAGGCCCCACCACCAGCAGCAGAGGGGAGCTGACACCGTCTACTTTGGACATCCCTCCTTAGGCTGCCCAAGCCCCAACACCTTTCTCTTGCTCTCACCTCCCTCTGGCCACTTTCTGAGACCCAGGGGAGAAAGCCCTTCTGAGAGAGGGCACCCAAGACTCCAGGGAATCCAGGACTCCTTGGTCAAGGAGGACAACCTAGATTCCCTGCCCATCCACTGGGGCCTGTGCCAGTAACAACTGCTCCAAGCTACCTTCCTGTAGGAGCTTGGTCAGCCTGGGAATGGGGGCAAGGCCAGGTGGGCAGAGACAGAGGGCAAGGCACAGCTGGCTGGGTAAGGCAGGAGGAGGGTCCTTCAGTGGGGTTCCCCAGCCCCGTAGAAGAAGGGGTAGTAGAGGGAGCAGGGGTAGGAGAACATGAATTTGACTGCGAACTTCATCTCCTTATTCTTCTTGTCCCAGCGGTAGACGGCCATCAGCAGCAGCTGTCCATCAACTTTGCGGCCCATGACTAGGAAGCTGCCGGCCAGGCTGTCCAGCTGCGGGCAGGGGCACCCTGCTCCATTCTTCATGTGCAGGACCAGCCTTTTGGTGTCCTTGCGTGTTAGAGGGCCTGGCTTGAGCAGCTTCTTCTTCTTCTGAGCTCCAATCAACTTCCTGTCCCCATTCTCTATCTTGATCTCCTTGATGCGCATTTTGACCACTATGGAAGGAGGACAGAGGGGTGGTGTGAGAAGGGTCAAGGCTGCTTAGGACAGTGGTGACCTCAGCCTGGGGCTGGTAGGTCATGGATGTCCATGCTTAGGGAGCCTGATGTGCTGTGGGCTTGGATGGGCAGGGCTTACGTGGGCAGATTTTAATATTTAGGAACCCCCTATCAGGTGCTGACTCCCATGGACATTATGGAGTTTCATTCTCCAAGTACAGAAGGGGGAAATGAGGCATGGAGAGGGTGTGTTCTGTCCAAATTTTGGAGCCTGGCTTGACCCAAGTCTGGCCAACTCTAGAGCCAGAGCTTTTCCATGGTATCAATGGCAGGGTAGAGAGCTCTGGATGGCCAGTAGAGTGGGAGTTGGACGCCCCCCCTCCCCGGGAGGGGATGTAGTGGATGGAGTTGACGCTTGGAGGGGGTCCTTGTGTTGAAGGGAAGCTGGACTTCACCATCTTTGAGAATTTTGATGGGATTCTTAGCTGAGTGTGTGTGATTGCTGTGCCAGGTGGAGTATGGATGTGTGGCATGTCTCTGTGTGGGAGAATGTATTTGTGGTATTATAGGAGTGTGAGTGTGTGGGGTGGGGAGGTGGATGAAGGCAGGGTCTATGGTTAGAGAGTCATGGTCCAGGTCACTCGAGGTGTCCACAGAGAGCCTAGTAACAGTTGAGGATAGTGAGTCCCCTGGGCCTGGAGTGGGGAGTCCCTCAGGCTCTGGTCCTTATCTCTTTGAGAAGCCAGCAAATAACCTTGGCAACTCAGGGAAGGAAATTATCATATCTGCTCCTTTTCTACTCTCTCTTTCTCTCTTACACACACACATACACACACACACACACAACCTGTGTGTACTCTATTTCCAAAGATGCTACCAACATAAAAGACTCCTGTGATGTAAGGATTTAATTACCGTCTTTTCCTCCCTTTTTTATAGACATGAACGCTAAGACACAATACAGGGAACTGACTTGACTTGGCAAAGATCACACACAGAACTCTGTGGACCACGAATGAGCTAGGTCCTCAGTAGATTAGGCTCAGTTGTCCCAGGATGAGGAGGCTCTGGGATGAATCTGTGGGGACAGGTGATCACAGCCACCAGGCCAGAGGAGCACTAGGTATTGGGCAGAGGTGCTGAGGGAGGAGGTGCTCTACTTTCACCCCAGAGCCAGTCTCTCCCACTAGGGCTCATTCATCTCGGGGCTAAGCCTGCATCCCCCACAGAGATAGCCTAGCTGTGGAGGATCCTCCGTGGACAGTGCCAAGGGAGGGCCGCAGGAACTCTTGGCAGGGCTGGTTCCTGAGGTTCATGGACCATGACCATGGGGCTTCTGAAGCATTGCTCTCCTGGGAGGACTTATGGTTATTATCAGCTTTTAAAAGAGGTCAATGATGCAAAAGCTGTTGGAATTCACTGTGAGGGAAGGGGGCATGTGTGTTCATTTGTGTGTCTAGGAGGTTGCTTGCTGGGGGCCATGGCTACAGGGGCTCCACACTCACCGAAGTCACTGGAGCACATCTGTTCCATGAGGCCATCAGCACTGTGCTCCATCTCACACTGGGCGCAGATCTTGGTCACTGAAGAGAGAAGTCAGAGTGGGTGGGAGGGAGATGCTTGGTGAGGGGTTTGGAGGTCAAAGAGCCATTTATGACCAGTGTCACCTCATCTCTACTTCCTCATCAGGAATGATGCCACTACCTGCTCACTGAATGGTTGTGACAAGGACAAGAGAGGAGATTGTGCAAGGACAATACTGCTGAGGTGGGCAGTATTGCTCCATGATCCTGGCAGCAGCAACCATGACATGCATTGTTTCCTATATTCTTTCCCATCTAATCCTCAGCATATGAAGCCAGTATTATTTCTATTTGAGAGGAAAGGAAATGGAGGCCCAGAGTGGTTATCCAAGTTTGCAGAGTCGTGAGAACCGGCTTAGTACTCAGGATTTGTGACTCCCAGTCTAGTGCCGGAGTGGGGGTGTTTGCAGGAGCCAGGGCAGGGCTTGGACTGTGGCAAACTGAGGAGTGCCCCCTCCAAGGCAGGCAGCTTAACATTTCTAGAACTTCCAGTTTTTCAAGAGAAGCCCAAACTTTTCATTTGTCTATGAAATACTGAGTTTTATCTGCTAGCCATACAAACACTTCTCCAAGCTGCTGTTGATCCTCAAGGCCAAGACACAGTGCCTGACCTCTGCTGGCTTCCCTGAGTTCCCCCTCCAGGAGGGTACTCATCACTGGGGAAGGGGACTCTTGAGACAGTGGTGTGCAGAGAGCTAGGTCTGGTGAGATTCTGAGCTTCCAAGGCTGTTCATGTTTGGGCTCTAAAAAAACACAAGAGAAGGAACCTACAGGGATTTCTGCTTGGGACTGACATTTCCCTGCTTGGCTGACTCCCTCCCTGCTCCCTATTCTCTCCACACCCCCTAGACCCAGAACCCCAAGGAGAGGAAAAGGGCCAGGGAATCAGGGCTAAGTAGATGGCAGGTAAGGTTAGCCTGGAGAGGGGCTGTGGGATGGATTAGGGTGGGATCCAGTTGCTTTTTGGGGAGTGAGGAGAACAGGAAAAGAAAGCATGGTGCTGCCCCTTTGGGAGTCTCAGCCTTGGTCCCTTGTATTAACTGACCAGGCAAGGGTTGCCTGCTGGGTGCAACCATGTATCCTCTTGGCTGGGGCACTGGATGCCCAGGGTGGCCTGGAAGGGGAAGGGGGTGCTGTGTGGACCAGCACAGTGAAAGAGAAGGAAAAGTTAGGGGTTATGGCACTGGGGTACAGGTAGGAAGCAGGACTTAGGATCTTATTAGTCCCATGAATCTGGGATTGTTCTTACTAATGGAGAGGTTAAGCAAGTCACCCAAGGACTCCCTTATGGACAGAGCCTTATCCAAAAGACTCCCAGCTCTAGAATTGGGGTAGAGAAGTTAGGGTTCCAGGAATAGAAATGAGGGAGTCATAGTCCTGGAGTTCTCTTAGTCCCTAGTGTTACCCCCCTTCCCAAGGTCCTAACACGGGTAGGGTTGATTGCTTGTCTTAGAACCTTGGGTTGGTAAAAGTCAAGGTTCTGTGGCCAGGGCATTCTTGGGCTGAGAAAAGGAATAAAGCATTTATCAGGATGCCCCAGGGGACCCCAGGGATTCAGCGGCTTGGGAAATGATGGGCGCTGGGCTGCAATCAGAAAGAAGGAGGACCAATGGATTGTCCAGAGAAAGGCGGCTCATAGAGCTGTGCTAAGGTTTGGGGGTGGAAGTTGGGGGAGGCGTTCGTCAGGCCCTAGCTTGCAAGCCTTCAGGGCTGTCGGGAGCGCGGCGGCGTTTGCGCTACCTGGAGGCGCGGTGGCAGGCAGGTGCCCGAACTGCACAGCGATGCAGAGGTCGTTGTCCAGGGGGAACTTGTGGCAGTGCAGCATCTCTGGCCAGGGGAAGCCATAGGCCTCCATGAGCGGCGCGCAGCCGGCTCGCACGGCCTCGCACAGCGAACGGCATGGGTAGATGGGCCGGTCGAGGCAGACGGGCGCGAAGAGCGAGCAGAGGAAGACCTGTGTGTCAGAGTGGCAGCGCTTGGCCAGCAGCGGCAGCCAGCTGCTCGCCTGCTGCTTCACCTCGGCCAGGCTCTCGTGCTCGAGGAGGTTGGGCAGCCTCATGCGCTTGTAGCCCACTGTGTGGCAGAGCGGCAGATCGGTGGGGATGTCGAGGCACTGCGGCGGCTTGGAGTAGGAGCGGCCGTGCAGCGGCTCAGTCTGCCAGCTGTAGTAGTCGTACTCCTGGCCACGCGCTGGCGCCCCGTGCAGTGCCCCCAGCAGCAGCGCCAGCGCGGCCGCCCGCGCGCCCCCGGCCACCAGCATGGCTGCGATCTCCCCCGGGTGCGCTGTGCGGACCTGGACGCCCCAGGTGCCCCGGTGTGTGCCGCAACCTCCACCGCTGTGTTCGTCCAAGTGGGTGGCAGCTTTCCTCAGCTGTGGTGCCTGGAGTGAGCCTGGCACCTCCCACCTCCGGGCTCCAGCCCTAGCCTCCCTGCGCCCCAGCCAATCTGCAGTGGCCGGGCTCTCCCCGCCCCCCCCACCCCCTCCGCCCCAGGGCGAGGCAGGGTGGAGCCCCTCAGCCTCTACCGCCCAGCTCCCGTGTTCCCGCCTAGCGTGGGGAGTGCACCCCTTTTCGGGTCACGGCTGTCCTGCCCCCAGCCCTGGACTGCCTTGCACTCCTCTCCAGGGCTCCCTCACTTTCCTGGCCTTCTCCTCGCCTCTGGCTTCCCCATCCTTCCTCCTTATCTCTCTGCTCCACAGCCTCTCCTGTTCCTTTTCTTACTCACTTCTCTTGCTTATCTCCCCGCCTGAGTCTTTCCCTCTCCCCTCTGCTCTGTTTTCTCTTCCCCAACACCTCAGTTCCTCTTCTCTCCAGTGGAGGCTTCTGGCTGCCCACACCCTCCTGGTCCAGGCAGGCAGAACTTACCCTGTGGTCTCTAAGTGCCCATTGAGTTTCTGCCTGATGTTAGGCAGTGCAGGCTGCTGGGGGATCAGAGATTGCTAGGACTCAGACTTCCCAGCCAAGATCGGGTGAAGGTAATTACAACTTCAGTTTAGTGAGCTCCTACTAAGTGCCAGTGCCAGGGATGGTGCTGCCACTGCACAACCTTATTGAAGTCCATTTCTAATGGTAGCTAGTACCCAATGAGTGCTAATTGCGTTCCAAGACATTCTAAGCACATTGCACAGACTGCCTCATTTCATTCACACAGTAATGCTATAAGGAGGGTAGGCACCATTATAGTTTCCATTTTACAGATATAGATACTGACACCTAGAGAAGTTGAGCAAGGATTAGAGCTAGCATTTGAACCTATAGTCTGGGTCCAGAGTCAGAGCCCAGAAACAACCAAGAGATTCGTATTTTGAGTCCGTAGGCCTAGAGAGGCTTAGACAGGTGAAGTAATTGGCCCTTGGTCACACAACTTGTATTTGAAGAAGTCAGGCTGCTGGAGTGTGGCTCAAGTGGTAAGAGCGCCTGCCTAGCAAGCGTGAGACCCTGAGTTCAAACTAGTGCCGCCAAAAAAAAAAAATGTTGATTGAAGAAGTCAGGAGTTAAATCCAGGTGTTGATCTCAAAGGATAGGCCTTAACCACTTTGCCATAAGTAGCATAAACAGGAAGCACAGGGGAGGAGGAAGGAAGTGTCACTGTCTCTGAAGAAGGCATCCAGGCAGGCATCAGAGAGGAGGTGACTTTCAGGAATCCCAAACTTGGTTTCCCCTTGTCTGGGCCCTGCCTTCCTTGGCTTTCTTGTGAGAAGAACTTGGAGCAGAGGCTTGGTGGGAGGAGAGACTTTTTTTGTGGGCCTCACCTGACCTCTGACCTCCCAGCCTGGCTCCTCCCTGGGGAGGAGTCTCATAGGAGGGCAGGGGAGTTGGAAGCAGCTCTACTGGGAGGCAGGAGTCCCCCCACCTCTTCCTTATATTCCCTGCCCCCAAATATTTCCAGGGCTCTTGCCTTCTGATGGATTTCTCCTTGCAGTGGTAGTGGAGTCAGGGTTAATATTCAACCACTTCATATGGACTGCTTACTATGTGCAAGGTATGGGGTGTGGTGTGGATGAGGACACAAGTGCAAAAGACGTACCCTTACTTCATCTGATCTATTTGTGAGCAAAAGACTCAAAGCAGGGCAGAGGAGGCAGGAGGGAATTCAGCAGACAGCCTAGGAGGGCAGAGGGTGACCTAATTATGTCCAGGTAGAGTAAGTGGGGGCCTTTCCTTCCCCTTCTTCTTTCTCCATCCCCAGTACTAAGAGGCTCTGCAGATGGTTGCTCAGAAGGGGAAGGACAATCTCTGCAGGGCCAGGTGGTGTAGTATAGTAATGGTGTAAGAACCATCGACTCTGCAGACAGAAGAGCCAGGTTCAAATCCCAGCCCCTGTGTGACCAATCTGACTCTGACTGACCTCCTTGTTGGTAAAGTGGGACTTGTGTTGGGCAAAGAAGATGAACGGGAAGAAAGCCCCCTGTGTAGTGCCAACATATAAAGAGCACCCAGGAATGTTGGATCCCCAGGGAGGTGTGACTTTGAAGTAAAAATGTGGTATGTGTTCTGAAACTCCCCTCAGAGACCTTGGCCCTAATTCTGATTTGGGCTCTGACAGTCATGCTGCTTCCCGTACTCCTGCTCCCTCAACCCTTCTCTGGATCTGGCAGGCTTGTTGCCTCTAGGGGAGGTGTGGTCCTGGGCACTGGTGGTTGTGCAAAGTGCTGGATCCTTGGGTAGCTGGTTGACTGGGGTGTTCTTGGCATCCCAGTGCCTGACCTGGACAGAGCTGGGCATTGTTCCTGCTGTTACTTATGTAAGACTAACACATAGCCCAAGAGCCAAGCGAGTCTAGACCTGGCATCCCTGGAGGTTCCAAAAGGTAGTGGGGCCAGACTGGAAAGTCTCTGGAAGAGGAGGATGCACTGTCTTTACCTGGCAGCTCTGACCTGGGGTCCCCTGAGGCTTTCTGACGTGGACTGGTGATGAGAGCCAGGAGGGAAGCCCTGCCCAGGGACTGTGAGGGCTGTGCCTTGGGGTGGTCATCAGGAGAGTCTCTGTGGTCAGCCCTTTTCCTGGCTCTGGGGCTGGGCAGGCAAGCCCACTCTCTGATGTGGTGCCTTTTCTTGATGAGGCTGACCTAAGGCCTAGGCAGCTGGGTGGAACACCTGGTATGCCGGGCATCTGTCCATCCTGTAGCGTCTGCAGTCTCTCCAGGTGCATGTTTCCCCAGCTGATGGAGGGGACCATTGGTTCAAAAAATGTGTATTTGTGGTTTGAGCAAAGTTCTATATAAATGCTTAGTAAGATACCTCTTAGATCTTAGATACTTCTTTGATTTAACTTGTTAATTATGTCATCAAATTCTACGGTTTTCTTTTTTCTTGTCTGTTTCTGTTAAGAGTTTCTCAGGGATTCCCAGCACCCTTTTGGGGGCTCTGCAAGGTCAAAACTGTATATAACTCAAAGGTCTATTCAAAGTACATAGATTTTAAGGTGACAGTTTGTTGATAGGTCTCTGATTCTACATTACAATGACCATTTAAGAAACTACCATATGTTAATTTTGGGGGTAGTATTAAAGAATATCTACAAACTAGAACCTCCCTATCTCTTCCTCCTGAGTGGTTAGGGTGAACCACAGAGGCCAGTGCCACATGTGTTTTGTCTGAATGATATGAAGAAAATTTGACCTCACACAAAAATGCAGGTGGAATAGGGAGGAGTGTTTTAATAGCCTTTTCAAATAATTGTGAATATCCCTTAATACAATTTGCTAAAAAGGCCCCCCACCCTGAGACTCAGTTGCCTCACCTGTGACATGGGAACACTTTGCCCTGTATTCTCCATGGGGTGATCTTGAGGACTGAATGAGACGATGAAAGGAAGGGGCTTAGGTTGATGATGGAGGTGAGGCTGATGTTGTCTTTGGCATGAGGAATGGAATGACACCCCTGTCCCATCACCTCTCCATCCCCTGACTGTGAGGAGGTCCTTCCAGTCCGGGCTTATCCCTCTTAGGAGAGTAAAACAGAATCTTGCCAGTATTGGCTGAAGTCGTCTGCCTTTTAACCTCAGTACTCCCTGCTGAGCCGCTGTCTTCATGCATTTGTTGTTGGATTCAACAGAAAGCCCAGACCAGTGGTCTGTGTGGTTAACAGAACTATTAGTGCTGGCAGGGGCCTGTTGTCTCCACACTGAGTTTTTTATAAGAGGAAACCAAAACTCAACCTTCCTGACTCCCAGTCAGGAAGCATTGTGCCTTTCTAGTCTTTCAACTTCGTCAATTGTAAAGTTAATATCTGTCCCAGAAGCCCCCAGCTGGGGAGGACCTCCCTGCCAAACAGCCTGGGCTTTGGTGAGCAGTTCAGGCAGGCTTGCTTGGGATTGCAGGGCATCCCAGGAGCAGTGGGGACTGGCTACAGAGGGGCTTGAGTTGAGCTCACTGGCCACCTAGACAAATGGACATATAGGCCAGCCAGAGCCCTCCCTTCTATGAGCCTGGCCACTGACAGCTTCTTCAGGTTGTCCTAGAGCTCACAAACCTCAAGGAATAAAAGCAGAGGCCAGACTTATCTTGAGTGGGGGGGGTGGAGGGGTTTGGTCCAGCTTTAAATGTGCCCATCTGAAGCACAAAAGTAAGTGGGATGAGGGCAGGCGTGCTGGCGTGCTATAGACAGGGCTGTGGATGGAAAGAAGGCTGAATAGTGCTCCCCTCCTCTCCCTGGGTTCCCAATGCACCTGGGAGTTCCTGGGCTGTGCTATAGGTAGGTAGCCCTGGCTAGAAGCACGACAGTCACATGATTTGGTGAAGAGCATGAATTCTGGAGTTAGATTGAGTTCTAATTTCAGCAATGCCACTTGACCTTGGGTTAGTTATTTTACCTCTCTGAGCTTCAGTTTCCTCATTATGTCCATGTTTTATTTTATTTTGGTGGTACTGGGGTATGAACTCAGGGTCTTGCACTTGTTAGGCAGGTACCCTCCATATCTAAAATGGGCGCAGTAATATTTTAATAAAAATAGTTCCTCATAGGATTATTGAGAAGATTAGTTGTAATCTTAAAATTTTCTTAGAGCAGTGCGCACAGTAAGAGTTGCCAATATAATTGATGGTTGCTAACATGGAACATTGGTGTGACAGTAGTCTTTAGAGAGCTTTGCTGAATTCTGCAGCAACTCTTTCCTGAATTTCTTTTCTATCCACTGCACTATTCCTTTCTTGCTCTTCTCTCTCTTCACATCCTCTCCAGCTGCCCTGTAGTCCTCTTTTTCCACTCTGCAAGAGCTGAAGTGATCATTCTGTGCCACAAATCTGATGGCCTCACCCTTCAGCTCAAGGACCTCAATGGCTCCCACTGTCTTTGGCTAGAGTCCTCCCTCAGGCTCCGGTGGACCAGGTCTCC